GTCAGCTCTCTCTCTCTCTCTCTCTCTCTCTCTCTCTCTCTCTCTCTCTCTCTCTCACACACACACACACACACACACACACACACACACACACACACACAAGATCTGCACTGCATAGACTGAATAATCGAGAGTTTTGCCTTCCCCTCCCTGACTGGGTTACTTGTCATTCTCCGTGCAGAGGAGATGGCAAGCGATGCACACGCTCTCACAGCTGAGCTTGTGCATTGGAACAACTCATATTGCTTTTTAAAAATGCCTGTAAGAGTGGATGAGAGAAAGTATGTTAGAGTATAACATTCCATGAAACTTACAGAGAGCTGCTCAGGCCTCCTGTGCCTAGCCAGAGACTCTTGCCCACCCAATTCCATCACTCTCAATCACTCCTTCCCCACCCCCACACTCTTGACTGCAGAAGAGGCCCGGTGTGTGTCCACAGAGATGCCAGAGGATGGAGGACAGAGGATGGAAGATAGAGGATAGAGGACCAAGAATAGAGGCCAGACAACCAAGGATGGAAGGTGGAAGACTGAGGATAGAAGCTAGGGTTTCCCTGGATACTGGTTGTGAGCTGGGTTACTCCTCAGCTAGACAATTTGACACTAGGAAACATATACCAGTTCTTTTCCTAGTGAAAAGCTACAAAGTAGCCAAGAGGAAGGAGGCATGCTGCAAGGCCTCCTAGCTGCTAGAACCTGGAACAACATCCAAGTGCCATCGCCCAGATGACTGTGCCGCTAGGGGCTCCCCAAAGCCTCTGGGGCTTCCCCAAAGCTCCTGTCCCTGGGGAGAGGGCATGGTTGGCACCTTCAGACTGTAGTAGCACAAATGCCACCTGCAGACATCTGTGTCACTGAACAAAGTAATATTATTTCACTGGTTTCTCTTTTTCTTTTCATTTCTGTGTGTGTGTGTGTGTGTGTGTGTGTGTGTGTGTGTGTGTGTGTGTGTGTGTGTGTGTGTGTGTGTGTGTTGGTTTTTTGTTTTGGGGTTGTTGTTTTTTTGGTACTGGTACTGGGGCCTGAACTCAGGGCCTCCTGCTCTCACTTTGCTCTCTTGCTCATGGTTGGCCCTCTACCTCTAGAACCACCACACCTCCGTTTCTGGCTTTTTGCTGGTTCATTAGAGATAGGAGTTTTTCGAATTTGTCCACTCAGGCTGGCCGTGAACCACAATTCTCAGATCTCAGCCTCCTGAGTTAGCTAGATTACACGTGTGAGTCACCAGCGGAGGCAAAATGGCCGTCCCCAGGGCCTGCAGGCCCACCCTCCTCTCCCAGGGAGTCAGTTTCATGGGGCTGCTGCGCTGCCCCTTCCACACGGTCTGGGATTCCAGAACCTCATCTGTAGCTGTGGAGCTCTCCCCTGGTGACCAATGCGGCCTGCTATGCTGCCTCCCGCTGTCGGCTCAGTGGCCGGCAGGGGAGAAATGAATCGGGCCTCATGTGTCATCAGAGGCGGGCCCGTCGCACCCAGCAGCTGCAGCCCAAGCCATGAACCATGCACCTGTGAGCTTCCCTGCGTCTTTCTTCTCTTTCCCTTTCTCAAGTTGTGATATACCAGATCCCAAGTATGACTCCATGTAGCCATGAACCTGAGATAGTTCCATCTGCTGCTTTCACTCGGGAGCCCCTGCTGTCGACATCATCTTTATGCTTTCCTCTGGAAGGCCCCTGCTAGGAATTCTCCCCGCCACCCCGGGCCAAGCTGAGAGGAGGTGACAGGTAACGGCAGTCTTCTCTCTTGTCAGTATAGGAAATGCCGATTCAAATGGTTGGGCCAGGCACCGGTGGCTCATGCCTGTAATCCTAGCTACTCAGGAGCCTGAGATCTGAGGATTGAGGTCCGTGAAACTCTTATCTCCAATAAACCACCAGAAAACCAGAAGTAGCGCTGTAGCTCAAGTGGTAGAGCGCTAGCCTTGAGCTGAAGAGCTGAGGGACAGCGCCCAGGCCCAGAGTTCAAGCCCCATGACCCCATGACCAACAAAAAAAATGTCACGCTGGGGTTAGACCAGCTCCCCTCTACCCTTCCTTCCATCTTCCAGAGAGGATGACCCCATTTTGATGTGGACCAAAGGAAGTCTGCTCTTGAAAATACACCTCCAAGCCGTGTGCCAGTGGCTCACGTCTGTAATCCTAGCTACTCAGGAGGCTGAGATCTGAGGATCGAAGTTCAAAGCCAGCCCAGGCTAGAAAGTCCGTGAAACTCTTATCTCCAGTAAACACTCAGAAAACCGGAAGTGGCACTGTTGCTCAAGTGGTAGAATGCTCACCTTGAGCTGAAGAGCTGAGGGACAGCACTCAGGCTCAGAGTTCAAGCCCCATGACCGACAAAAAAAAAAAGAAAGAAAAAAAAAAAAAGAAAATACACCTCCACATCGACGCAGCAGGGCATGTGCTTTTGTTCAAACCATGGCAGGCACACCAGCCATAGGAGCCCCTTAGTAATTTTGCCCCGAGCTCCAGTTCTCTGGGATGGGGCATAGTTCACTGAAGCAGGCTGAGCCCTTTGTGATCATTACACGCTGCCTTCACCCTGGCAAACGGTTCCTCCAGATCCATAAAGAATAAACTGGTTGTTCTTCGTTCCTGACCTGTTATTGTTATTTTTTTTCTACTTTTGCACAGTCATTTGGTGGATAGGGCCCACTTAGGACACAAATGCATATTTTAATAGCTAATATGGAATCTGCGTTGGGACCTCAGGTGGGTGGGGGTAATGATTATGCAGCAATTAAAAGCAGACAGATAATTTTCCGTCATGACCGGGGATTAGTCTGCAAAGCGTTTGCTGACCTGGACATTGAGCTGACTGTTGTGCTTTTGAAGGCTTGGGCAGGGCACAGGGGACTCAGGGGGGTTCAGGGGGGAACACTGTTGATAGATAGGCTCAGAACTCTCCTATTTCAGGTGGGGGAGGGGAGAGATGCCCTGATTTGCACTTGATTTTAAGCTGTCTCAGTGTGATGTCATTTCATGAACTGAGATTATCATGTGTAGGTAGGTGAACCATGGAAATACACACACACACACACACACACACACACACACACACACATCTATACCTATGTAGATGCCTGTGTGCTCCTGTTGAAATGTGCTTCTTCTAAGCATCTTTCAGTGTGTGTCTGGGAGGAAGCAGAGCCAGTTTCCAGATCTGTGGGGTTTTCTGTCTCCATCTTTAACTGTAGTTATTTGAATTCCTTGTGGGAAATACACCTGCTAGATCCATGAATGCTCCACATGACACCCCCACCCCAAGCAACCAGGAGAGCCCCTCCCCCCCAGCCTGTCCCCACTTGCCACAGCCTCCTTCAAATCTTGAGATCACTTTGGCCATGTTGGGTTTTTCAAGGGTCATTTGATAAAAAGAAAGAAAGAAAGAAAGAAAGATGACCCCACTTCAGCCATTGAACGGCAAGCAACCCTGGACTTCACCTTCAACTTGTATTGTGACTTGTTAAAGCCAATAAGGCCTGGCGACATCTTGCTCCCCCCACCCCGCCGCCGCCCAGGGCAATGGGCCCCAAACACACTTGGCCTTGGATCTTTTAGGGCAAGAAACCCCTTCTCCGAGTCATCTCCTTCCTACTTGCCCTCCCTCATAAAGCCCCCGCTGAGAGGAGGCAGAGGGAGGCTGAGAGGGAGGGCTCTGTGGGCCATCCCTCCTCACCAGGAAGCTGGCTGCTCTTATTCTAGAAGCTGGTGTTACTCACTGTTTGGTAGCAGAGCTCCTGGGGTACAGTAGCTCCAGGTCCCATCTGTTCATTGAAACCCCCACCACCTGGAAGCTAAAGGTTACAGCCGAGACGTTCGTATCTCCTGGTGCCGGAATTGTCTCACATTATTTTCACGTGAGCCTAGGAAGCCGAGAAGATATGTGTGATGTGCTGGCTGGGGCTTGAATCCAGGGCTTCACACTTACTGGACAAGGACTCCACCTCTTGAGCCATGGCCTCAGAGCTTTTGTTTTTACTTTGGATTTGCGGCAGGGTCTTGTGCTATCTTTGCCCACGTTGGCCTCAAAGTCTCAGTTCTGCCTTTGCCTCCTCAAGTAGCTTAGATTCTAGGGGTGAGCTACCATATCTAACCTAGATGCTTAGCCTTTTGTTGTTGTTTAAACAGCCTGCCCCATTATCCTGTCTAGGGATCCCACTTATCTCCCATAAACACTTGGGGAGGATTGGGGGTACTGTTCGTGATGCCCCTGCCATACCTGTTCCTTAACATCCGGTAGACTCCTTAACGGTTGCCTTGTTTTATTGGCACTTTATTCTTTGGTGTGTGGAGGCGAGCTCAGAAGTATGTTTCCAGGAAGGAGGGACTCGATCTTCATTTCCATTTCTGTGTATTGGATTGTACTCTCTGAGGGAACTGAAGATTGTCCTGATGGACACAGGGTACCTCACCGGCCCTCCCACGGAATGGCCATGGCCGACGTTGATTGGAGAGACTTAAAAATGTGAGTCCTGTGCCAGTCCCAAGTGATTTTAACTCGAGGTTTTAGCTCCAGGCCAAGGGAGGAGATGGGCTATTAATCATGCACTTTGAAGAGCTTCGTCTTTCAATCCTGTTAAGCTCTGGGGCCTGCCTTTATGGGTCTCCTTCCAAAAGTAGTGCCTCAGCAAGAGCTAAACCTACTGGGCCCCAGCCGGGCTTGGTGCCTTTAAGAGGACTGTTGGCTTCACGCTGCCCCGCTGGCCACCAGCCCCTCCTCACTCCCAGATAAACCCTGGGCAGCTCCCAGCTGCCTCTGCTGGCCCATCTGTCACCAGCCCAGCCCAGGGGTCAGAGGGCATGCTGCCCTTTCGTTGGAATGTGAAGAAAAGGAAGAACAAAATCCATTGAGAAAATAGAACAAAGTGAAAAAATAGAGGGAAGGAGGCGTAATAGTCAAGAGGTCATGCCGAAGAATCCAACATTTCTAATGTGATTTCTGCCCCTTTCCCTTTCCTGGTCTGAATTCCCTAGCCCAAAGGTTCATCTGTTCCTCCAGTCATCCATCAATTAGTGAACACCTCCAAGTGCATGATGGGAGATGCCACAGACCCAGGAATGGGCCTGGCAGATGGCTGGTTGTGTCTGTTCAAGGACCACCGCGGGGCGGAGGGTCTTGGCCAGATGGAAGCAGGGAAGCAGGCGCTGGAAAGCAATGGTCTGTCGTTAGAAACCAGACTCTGCCATTTGTAGGAAGCATCACTTCAACTCTCCGAGCCTCCGTTTCCCCATCTCTAAAACAAAGCTAATAATGGCGCCCTTCTTATTGCATCTTTGAAAGAACTCGCTGAAGTATTGGGTAATGGTACTCTGTGATCAAAAGGCAAGTGCTGGACACTAGAGGAGCTTGGCCTGGGGGAAAATGTGCCCTACAGATGAGGCCATGTTGTGGAAGGGGTCCCCCGTAATGACATATTTCCATGGACAGCTAGACTCTGACCCCATACTTTCTCATTCACCAAAGCCTTCACCATCTGCAAAGATGAAGGGCAGTAAGTGAACTGTCCTCTTTTGGCTCAGATAAGTAGCTCTATTCAGGCAACAAGTAAGCAATGACCATCTTCTTTTTTTTTTCTTTTTTTCTTAATATCTTTCTAGAACTTTCTACTACAGCGATTATTTCCTATTGCTTTGCCTTTTGGGGAATAACCAAATAACTAAGCCTCTAATTCATACTCCCATGCAGAGGCTAGAAGGTTTATTTTTTAATTATTATTATTGGTGATACTAGGATTTGAATCCAGGGCCTCACGTTTGTTAATCAGGCACTTCTCCATTTGAGCCATGCTTTATCCCTGGAAGGTGGTTTGAAGGTCTGAACCTGCTGCCCGGGATCCCGGGGTAGCCCTAACTATGGACTGCAAGGGTCTGCTGTCACGCCACTGGGAAATCAATTTGTGGATCTCCCACTGGCTGACCCCACCCCTTGGGGACCATGAGCAGGTGCAAAGATCCCTGCGTCATGGGAGAAGAATTCACGGACCAAGAAGCTGAGTGATGCTGCCTTCTCCATTTGCATATGACTTTCCCCCGTATCTCGTAGATTTTTGGGGGGGGGTTCCAAAGCTCCCCACTACAACTGGCATCACCAGGGGCCTTGGTTTTATTTGAGTGAGGTGACTCAACATCTTGCCATCAATCCTGCCTGTTCAGGGAAGTTAACAAGCCTTCCAATGCACAACAATGCCATACACAATTGAGTCTTCCTTCTGCTACCAGATTAATTTGGTATGCTTGCTATTTCTAAATTAATGCTTGGATGACCATGATCTCACCGTGTGATCCCAAGGAGCACCACCACCCCGCCCCTAAGGTTCTGGGGACCAGCTATTCTTCTTGCCCCTAGTGTCAGGATCTGAACTTTGCACCACCACCTATACTGATGAGCCCCTTGTTCCTACGCCAGGCCAGGGGCAGAGGAAGCATGTTTCTCAGGCCCAAAGAGGAGTTCGAATCCCACATGACAGGCTTAGGGAGCCAGGGAACCAGGCACTCGGGGCAGAGGGGTCAGCCCATGAGCCTCTGAGAAGGTAGAAAAGTGAGGTGAGGGGGATGTAGTTAGGCAGAGAGCATCCTGAGAGGGGAGGCAAGAGGGGTGGCGCTGGTATGTCAGACAGGAAGATGAGTGAGAAGAGACTAGGACAGGGCTGTGGGCAGGAGAGTTTAGAGCATAGGACAGGGCTGGGAAGGTGGCTCAGTGGTAGAGCGCTTGCCTTGCATTCATAAAGCCCTGGGTTTGATTCCTCAGTACCACATACACAGAAAAAGCCGAAAGTGGCACTGTGGCTCAAGTGTTAGAGTGATAGCCTGGAGCAAAAGAAGCTCAAGGACAGTGCCCAGGCCCTGAGTTCAAGCCCAGGATTGGCAAAAAATTGATAAATGAATAAAAATATTTTTTAAAAAAAGAACATAGGACATTCCCTGCCTCCTATGCTTGTTTTTGTTTTCGCTGGTACTGGGGCTTGAACTCAGGCCCCCCACACTCTTACTTGGCTTTTTTCATTCCAACCTGATGCTCCACCACTCGAGCCACACCTCTACTTCTGACTTCTTGCTGGTTAATTGAAGATCAGCGTCTCACAGACGTTTCTGCCCAGGCTGGCTACGAACTGCAATCATCAGATCTCAGCCTTTTTGACTAGCTAGGATTGCAGGCGTGAACCACCAGCTCCCAGCTCTTCTTTTACAGCAAAGGCATCTACCCCCTAGGCCATGGGTTCAGAATGCTTCAGAATCTTCTAGAAGATCTAATAAAAGCTTGGCAGCTGGGTCCTAGTCCTCAGGTTTTTTTCTCTCTCTTCTTTCCCTTCTCTTTTCTTTCCTCTCTTTTCTCCTCCCTTCCTTCCTCCTTTCCCCTCCCTCCCTCACAGCATTTCCTTCTTCTTCAGAGACATAGAGATTTTGAGCACTCTCCCTCTGTGTGTACATGTGTTTTAAATAAATCTTATCATACACGTTTTGAGGTTGGGAGCCCAGACAAACAGCAGCCCATGGCAGGGTCCTGGAGTCCTGAGGTCCAGGCCCCGTATCTGCCACTGTGCCAGAATGGGAGAAATCGCCTCCGTTCATAACTTCCTGCTCTGCCGTCTAACCGGGTTCCCTTCTCATTTCCAATCATGTCTGCTCTCTTGGAGAATAAATGCTGCGCATGGAAGGCTTTATTTTAGAGCCTTATTTCTCCGTGATTTACATTCTCCTCTCTGGGCGTTTTATGGCCACTTCAGATGTATCCTCAGTGAGCAGCGGCCACTCATACCCCGGCCAGCGTCTCAGCTTCCCCTCCCCCTCTGATCTGTCCTTCCACCTGCACTTAATGGCCCATCCACACGCCCAAGGGGCTGGCTCAAAGGGTCAGGAGACACTCCTGCTTTTTATACAGGGCAGCCCCACTCACTAGCTCTGAAATTCAAGTTCTCCTAGGCCAGCCCTGGGGGCCTAGCAAGTAGAGGTGTGGCTCACGTGGCAGAGTGCCAGCTTTGAATAAAAAAGCCAAGCAGGAACAGGAGGACCTATGTTCAAGTTCTAGTACCAGCCCCCCCACACACAAATGCACACGCACACGCACACACAAGCACTCATGCAACAAGATCAGAATCCTCACAGCCCCATCTCCCCACCCAGGACTGTGGCCTCTGGCCTGGTGTACTGGCTGCCACCTTGACTTCTTGCACACATGATTCTAACTTCACTGCAGGGCTTGGTAGAGTCTGCTTCCCGGGGCACAGGTAGATGAAAGGGTCCGTGGGTGTGGGCTTCAAGAAGACCCAGTCCTCCCAGCTGGACTGTAGGCCAGGGTGGGCCAACCACAACTGGGTCCCTTGCTTCCACAGGGCTCTGCCCTGCCCTAGTCTCCATGCTGTGGCCTCCAGGCCCTACAGGGCAGGAGGGCCTCTCCATCTGTAAAATCCCACATCCCTCATCTGCCTGGTAAAGGCTTTCTGGCAGCGCTTTCTGCTTCTTTTTTGGTGGTGGCGATGGCTCTGGTGTGGCTGAAATGTGTCACTGATTGACTCAGATGGAAGTGAGGACAAGAGCACAGTCAGCTGCATGCCGGAACACCCACCGATACCTCTGGGGTCCCTTCTGGCCCTCAGCTGCAAGCCACATGTCCACTGCTGAGCTGCCCACGGGTGGATGACCCACCCTGTGGTGACCATCCCATGGCATAGGAAGTGAATGGAAGTCATTGATTTCCACAGTCGTTCCCACCCTATCCTCCCCCCCCTTTTCCCCTCCCCCTACCCCATGTGGGGCTTCGGCGGCACTCATGTCTCTCCATGTCAGCCTGTGGTCCCGCTCCACAAAGTTATGCTGTGATGTACTTACAGGGTGTTCTCTGGGCCCATTGGGTAACACCTGTCCTGGGACAGAGCCCTCCTCCATGTCCCCCATGGCTGCTGAAGCCTCACCTGGTAGACCCCGACTTGCTGTCCATCCCAGTTCCCAGAGCCCAGTGTGGGGCCAAGGAGGAAACAGGCAAAGGTTCCTGAATTCAAATGTAAAGAATGTGTGGTCAGCTGGCCAGAGAGGTGCCGTCTCTGTCTCCACAGAAAAAAGAGAGACGGGGGCTGGGAAGGTGGCTCAGTGGTAGAGCGCTTGCCTTGCATGCTCAAGGCCCTGGGTTCGATTCCTCAGCACCACATAAGCAAAAAGAAAAAAGCCAGAAGTGGCGCTGTGGCTCAAGTGGTAGAGCACTAGCCTTGAGCTGAAGAGCTGAGGGACAGCGCCCAGGCCCAGAGTTCAGGCCCCACGACCGGACCCAAAAAAAAATTAAAAAATAAAAAGAAAAAAGAGAGACAGGCAGAGGCCCACGCACAGGCTCTGCAGAATGCTGACAAAGGCTACAGAAGTCTGCTTCCCCGAGGGTGGCTGTGCCATTGCCCAGCTGTGTCCCCTACCTGGGAAGAAGGTTCCAGCACAAGACTCTGAGGTTCCTGAGGTTCAAAGGATGGAAGTAAGAGTCAAGCCCACCTCCCTCCACCTTGGGGGCCTTCCAGATGCAAGTCTCGATCCTGAGAGGGTGATGGACACACAAGAGCCACGCTGCCTCCTGAGGGGAAGGCCTGGTCTGGAGCTCACTCGGAGGACCTGGGCTGTCCTTGGCTACTCTGCCTCCATGCCTCCCTGCCTCCATGCCTTGGGCTCTCCTGAGCCCTTTGCAAATAAGAGGCTCAGGGGAAGAGTTCACTGTCACCCCAGTCTATCTATCGCAGCCACTGTGTGATGAGCCGGGCCAGGCCCTGGATGCAGTAAGTACGTGAGTAGTGGTGGGCAGTGGGCACTGCTTCAATAGACAGATGCTGGGAGCGAGGGTGGCAAGGGAGAGGCGGGAGAGCCTGGTCAGGCCGGGCACTTTAGGGCTTCTTGGAACAAGTAGCATTGACCTGACGAAATGAGAAGGAGCCAGCCAGAGATGGAGGACGTGGGGGCTGTGGCTCGGTGGGTACAGCGCTTGCCTGGCACATATCCAACAGCCCGCCTGACATTGAGCTGTCCCTACATCTCCCCTGAAGCTGGGCATCCATCACCAAAGATGAAGGCTTTAAACCACAACAATACTTGTCTCTTGGTTCTGGAGCTCAAGGCACCCATAATGGTTGGATGAGGCCCCACCTGCCCTAATCACCGTTTTCAAGACCACATCT